AAAAAGCAATTGGGTATTTCACTTACATCTCCCAAAAGGCTTGAATATAAAGGAACAAGAATACTAATAGAATAAATTGGGAGCTTAAAGACTGTAAAGACTAATGGCATAAATTAGAAGTAAAGAGAGAATGGGACAGGGGAAAATGAAAAGGGGAAATAAAATAGGAATGAGAGGAGAAGCATATGCAATGAAGGTATAAGAAATAATAGATAATAGCAAGGGAGAACTCAGGGAAACAGGTGGAGAGTAAAATTATCATAAAACCAAACCAAGCTAGCAAAAAACTGAAAATACAAAAATACTAATAAAAGCCAGTCAATAGTTTATTGACATAATACCAGTCAATATTTCTTTTCTTACTGGGGTGTGGATTCTCCCACTCCCGAGGTCGCCTTTTTCAGTTTACTCTGTGTTGGGGAAGGCAGCTGCTTATCTTTCCAGAGTCCAAACAGGTTAGATCAGAATGGGCTCTATGCAGTCTGCCCTCTATCTTCCTTGCTAGGTTGAATTTCTCTATAGTAACCACCCTCAAGTTGCCCCTTCCAGCTGGGTAACAGTCTTTCTAACCCTCAGCTTGGAAGTCCCCTTTTCTCAGTGCCCACCCCACTGGCCTGACTCTTTGGTATGCTGATGGGTTAGGCTCTTTCACATATCTGAGACTCTTGTCAATTCCATTCATATTGACATTTACAGCTGGTTTCTGCTCTTATTACGGTTCAGTCTACTGCTCCACTGGAGATTTCTACCTGGTGGTTTTCCTCTGTACTGTCTCCCAATCTCCTCCCAAGTATATTTGTGTCCACAAGTCTAAGTCCAATCAGCTCCTGTCCCCTCTGTCTACAGTGTGGCTCTCAGGATGGTCACTCAGTAGAGAAGGATGTAGGGGCCTTTGGGCTCTTAAAAGGGTTTGGTTTTCTGCTTTTCTTGATAGAAAGCTTGATTGTAGAGCCTCTGCCAACTTGGCCTCCCTTTTCTGAAATATGTGGCACAGAGGTTCCAGCATGTCCATTCTCAACATCTGCTTCTTGCCCAGTATGCCGATATCCCGTCTAAAATTTGATAGTTGCATAATGTTTGCTTCTAGAGGCTTTCCTTTTCTCCTTTACGTGAAGCCCTACTAGAGGAGGTTCTCCTTCTACCCTACAATTTTGTTCAGCATTCTTTGTTAGGGTCTTTTGTTTCCTTTATAAGTCTACCATTCGATGCGGTCTGTCTTCTGTTTACTGTTGCCCCCCTTGCCTTTGCACAGTTCCTATTTCACCCTGCAGCCATGGATCCAATATATCTTTTTAGATTCATGGAGACACAGGAGAGTGGCGAGTGTCTCTACTCTGCCTTCTTTTAATCCCATGGTTCTCTTTAGATTGTTGGCATATTTAGGAAAGCTGTTTTAGAACATATGCCTAATTAAAATATGGGCTTCCTCGGGGATGTTTTCTAATTTTTTTCCTTTAAGTAGGTTGTATTTCACATTTTTTTGTGATTTATTTTATCTATTTACCTATTTTTTTCTTGAGTAGGGAGTATTTCATATATACCTTGTAATTTTTTATTAAAGTTGGGCAATTTAAATATTATGTGTTAACTCTGGGAATCAGTTATTCTCCCTGTTCAAGGGTTGCTGTTGTCAATTGTGGAAGGATGCAATTATCAATGTTCAGTGACTCAAAGTAATTCTGCCAAGATTGTATTCCTGTTTTATACTTATTTTGCATCCTATTCCATCATCTCCATAGTTATCCAATCACCTGACAGAGATTTCCTGAAACACCAAATTTGCCTGCATCTTTAAACTCCTCCTCTCATTAAGTAGTCCCTTATTTGCTGCAAGTTTCGGGTTATAAATTCTAGAATTCTAAAATAGTTAATATGTCAGGTTTTGACTAAGATTATTTCAATGCAGGGACCAGTTCTTTAAGCATTATACACCACCACTTTCTCTGACATAATGTCTCCCTTATATCAATTTTTTGTTTTTATTTATCTTTTTTGAATATTTTATTTATTATTTTCATTTTATGTGTACGAGTGTAGTGCCTGCATGTATGTGAGTGCACCGTGTCGTACAGTGCCGCAGAGGTCAGAGAGGTCTTCAGATTCCCCTGGAACTGGAGTTAAGGATGGTTTGTAGCCTCCATGTGGGTGCTGGGAATCAAACCCAGGTCCTCTGCTAGAGCAGTAAGCACTCTTAACCACTGAGTCATCTCTCCAGCCCCTTATCTTTTAAATTATTATATGTTTCTTTCCTTGGGCTTGGAATGTGAGAAGTTAAAGATATACAATGTAATATCATTCATTTTCTTTTAATGCTAGCATCTCCTACTTAGCAACCTATTAACACAACTATACATATATTTTATCACCCCTAGTTACACTCAAATTATATTGATATTTAATTATTTTTTCTATCCACTTTCTCTGCTCATTTTTATTTTAGGTAAGACATAAAAAGGAGAGATCACCTCATTTTTCAGGTAAGTTGTTATTTTTTTAGCTTGATTTTTTAAAAATTATTTATTAACCACATACTTAGAAGAAGCATTCATTACAACAGCATTGACATATTCAATAACAATTTCCTGAGCTAAGATGCACCTCTTTCAAAATTGGCTGTAAATTTTTAGGTTTACAGTTCAATTATTACAGTTATACAATATTGTACTCAGTATAAACCTTTTAAGACGTAAGATTAAATGAGGATTTAACCTTTAAAAAAGATCTCCATTTCATTATTAAAATACACAGTTTCATACAGAAAAATTCATTTTCAATGCAA